TGTGGCGGGCTGTGAACGGCTCGCGTATTTGTAAAATCTAAGTGACTCGTACAACATGGAATTCATATAAAACGGAATTATCAACAGTGTTATAGGATGGGTCAACTGTATTGAGTAAATGTGCAGTGATGAAAAGCATTACACATGTCCCCTCATCTGTTTTTCAATCACACTTCCTTTAATTCACTTCTTAAGAAGAAATGCTTTTATTGGTCGTCTTTTTGGAGATTGGGATGCAGAGGATGAGGATGAGGATGGAGTCACCCTACCGTATACATCATTACAGTGTACACACATACGCACACTCCCCCACACAAGTTTGATTTTAGATTTAGTTGTGTATTTAAGGTTTTAGAGTGGAAAGGATGATGGAGTGGAGCCTTCCTCCCCACTTTTAAAACATTAATTAAGATGCATTGTCATTGGACTTTGGCATGATCTTGAGTTTCGGACTTTCGTCCGGATTAGAAGTGGATGAAATTTGAAGACAAAGCAAGTTACATAAAAAAAAACAAGCATTTAATAATACTTTTCTCGTCACTCTTTTGTCTTTTAGCGTGTAAAATATTTATGGAAATATGTAAATGTGTACCGAAAGAAGAATAAGGATTGTTTAATGCATTTTTTGGGGCTGCACACTTATGGAAGAGAAATGAAGAAAATGTGTTAATTCTACAATATTTTTGCTTGCTTTGTTAGTAGAAACCACAAAATATTGAATATTTATCCCAACAGAAAAATATATGTCTTAATTTCTCTTATGCGCCTTCCGGTAGTTGCACCGAAAATGTGCGCAAAAATAATTTATACCAAAAAAATCTTTTCTTTCTTCTAAACTGGATTAATTATTTAACCTTTGATGTCGTTTATTGTTCAAATCGTAATATAAATCACTTTATTAGCCGATTCGAGAAAATAATTAAATTATAAAAAGATACCATTCGATCATTTAATCGAATATGGAATTTCATTTACATAATTCTTTTATTTTGTACGGAGAAATTAATTTCGAATAAAGAAATTAAAATATTTTTAGTGCAGTTATAAGAGCAGTCTAAAAATATTTGATTAGCAAACTGGAAAAACAATTTAAAATAAAAACTGGGTCGGGTTTCTAGTACAGTTTGATATTAACTTAATATATACAGTATATAGAATGAGTCGAGGAAATTTAAATACATCGGAGATAATTATGTGAATTCTTTGTAATACTACCACTACATTTTTACATCATTGATGAGGATGCAGTTGCATTTTAAAAATTGTCTTTCTTTTAATATGAATAGGTTATATGTACTTTTATGAAGGAGTAACATTCTATCCTCTTCGATAGTAGACTTGTTATATAAACGACAACTCGAAAAACCTGATTTTTGATTAAAGTTGGAAGATCTGTCGAATTAACTTAGCCTAATCATCCTCTGATAATTTCGCAGATTGTCTGGTGTAGATTTATTATTAATAATTGTATTTGGAGTTTGTCGGAACCTATCTAGCTTGTCGTTGGTGAAAACCACTGGCCTTCTCTGGAGAATGTATTTTGTGTTTTGGGGCATTTGCATCCTTTACAGACTGGCAGGAGAGACTCAAAAGTGTGCAATTGTTAAAAGGAATAAACCAATGAAACTTATCTAGTCACATCTCAGGTGTACTAGATTCAAAATTGTACTTACAATCGGTTATTTTTATAACTCGAGAATGATACTGGTCTGGATATGAAATTAACGTGACAAATATTATCTTTAAACATGAATTTATTGTACGGGTGGTACTCTTATGTTTTTTCAAGGTGCTACCCGAATAATATAGAAATTAATTAATTAAGCAGAAGTATTTGTCCGATATAATAATCTTTTAACCGATTATGAGCTGGATAACTACCAAATTTTATTGGCCTTAGTCCATCTTTGCATGACTTAAAAGTTACGTAATCTGTTACGTTTGAGTCAAAAATAAAATAATTACGAAAGTAGAATTTTTATAATTTAATAATTATAAGAAATCAATCAAAATATTAGAAGTCACTTATAAATTTAAACTGTGTCAATGAATTATCATTTGAAAGTTTGTCATTTATTTCTTTCTCTTTATTAGAGCCAGTGTTAGACACATCTGGCAGTTAGATTGTTAAATATGTTAATGTTATAAAGGTAGTGTTACGGCACCCTCTGAATAAGCATTGGATATTTTTCTGTATTAACTGTACGGACTGTACTGCCGTACATATTTACAATTGAATCTGTATGGTCACTTTTGGCCGAATCAAACTGTTCCAAGGAACGTATTAAGTGCTTTAATGTGCATCTAATGATTAACATAGCCAAAAAAATAGACTGATAATTTGGTGGATCGTTTGGTGCTAATGCACTTGTTTTAGTTTCATCATAATTACAGAAATAACATTTCTTTTTTCTTTTGTGCTGTGTAGTAGAATTTAATATAACACTTAGAATTTTAGAAAATTATTTTCGGTTAAAGTATGAGTTATATGTCTTTATTGTATGTTGGTAAAATTTTTGGCACTATTATAACATTACTAAGCACACTTTTTAAAAATTTCAGCTAACAATTATCAAGAAGAAGCCTGCCAGAATGTATTCAGGCAGATGGAGCGATGCTGTAACAAGTGGAAGGACCAGTCTGCGACGTGTTCGGGTTTCAAGTACAGAAAAGTAACCGGGGATCCCGCTCCGGTCGGGCACATGAAGCACGCGGTGACGACATAGTGCTGGACGCCGTTCCGTAGACTAAGTACGTGATGTATGTATATTTACCGCGCAAGTTTATTTAGTTTGTAAAATGGTAAAAATTTAATATTGCGTGATTGTTTTCTATTAGCTACAAGAAAGCAACAGAAAGAAAATGTGTGAAAATTGTTTTTTACATTTATATATTGTATAAAATTTATTTATAATTGTTATTGGACTTTTAAAATTTGTTTTGAAAGCTTTTTGACTATTTATTAAAATAGATTACAAAATTTCATAATGCTATAAGCTTTTTTTAAGTGAACTGGGTGAAGATGCATCAGAACTTATTGTGGCAGTTTACAGATTTTTTGATGGATGGCCTGCTCGGTGGGAAAATTATGAAGCTGTGCAAGAAAAGCTCAAGTTGTCTAAGCATAGATTTATAAAACATTCAACAACACGTTGGCTGACATTCCATGATGCAGCATCAAGGTTAATTGAGCAGTGGGAGGGCATAACTTACTACTTCCTAAAGTATATTCCTTCAAGTAAACAAAGCATAATGTCAAGTGTTTTGTACAGAAGTATATCTTGTTTGTTGAAGATTCCTTCCATGAAAGCAGAAGTACTACAAGGCATTTCAAGTGCAGAAATTTTCACAAAATATACATCATTTTTTCAAAGAGAAGAACCTCTAATACATCTCCTGTACAGCAAGCTGTGGGACTTGCTTCTAAAGCTAGTTACTAGAATTTTGAAAGTAGATATTTTGAAGCTTGTCATTCAGTCTAAGTCTGCTATGCCTGATAGTAATGTATTAAATCCAAAGAAATTATTTGACAAGACAAATCTTTTGCCATTAGAGGAAATTATTTGCAGTGCTGAGGTTTCTAATGAGTTGAGTAAATTATCTCAAAAAGATCAATTGCATTTTCGCAGTTGCTTACAGAAACACTATGTTGTGGCTTCCATATATATGATAGAAAAAGCTCCAATTCAATGCAAACTGTTGAAATCATTGACATGTCTTCAACCAAGTAATATTAGTGAAAAAAGCACTTATAAGGACATTGTAAGCATTGCAAGAGCTCTTCCATGTGACATTGCTGAGGATACTTTGCAGGATGAGTGGCGTCTACTTCAATTTGAGCGAGTTGAGAGTGATTTGACAGACTCAACAGATGTGAGAATTGATTCTTATTGGAGTCAGTATTTTAAATTGGTTGACTCCCTTGGGAATGCAAGATATCCCAGTGTAACCAAATTGGTGAAATCAGCATTGACTCTCTCTCATGGCAATGCTGATGTGAAACGGGGATTTTCGATTTCACACCGAGCACTTCCTCCTCATAGAGCATCAATGTCAGAAAGAATGCTTAATTCACTTTTGATTGTTAAGGAGGGACTAAACATGCATGACCAAAGCCCACACCTTGTACCTATTACAAAGGATTTACTGAAATTAGCTGCCTCAGCACATAGAAATTATCAAGATCAATTGGAAAATGAAAAGAAGTTAAAAGAAAAAGAGAAACAGAAAAAAAGAGCAGAAGAGGAAGCACAGAAAAATTTTGAAGAACATCAAAAGAGAGCTATTCATGTCAAGGAAAAGATTATGGCACTGCAGCAGAGTTTAAAACAGAAAAAAGTAGAAGAAAGTGAAATACATGAGACAGGCCAGGTTTTGTTAGAAGCAGCAAAGAAAAAACTGGAGAAGGCCATTAATAGCAAGAATATGAATGAAATACGGGCAGCACATGTCATGCTTGTTAATGTTAAAAGTGTTCAAAAGCAAGAGGAAGCAAAAAAGAAGGAAGCTGAAAACATCCAGAAAAATTTTAATAAAAGAACATCATCTTTCATGACTGATTATTTACAGAAGCCAAAGACTTATTAAGTATTCATGGTTTACTGGAAATATTACAGTATATACAAAAAGTTTTAAAATGTATTTAACCATAACAATAAAAANATGCAGTGCACTGCATATGTTGATTACCCCGTTGTACCGACAGGTTATTGGTATTGTATTTGTTACGTTGTTGCCATGTGTTTGTAAGCTGATGAGGGGTCCTTGTACCCGAAATGCATACTTACCTAAATTTGATATGTGATTATTAAAGACCAAACCTTTTTTATAAAGTTCTGGTCCTTCTTCCAGTCGGCCTTGGTGTGATAAGCCCTGCAAAACGTTATACCCTAATTGTTGGGTTATCTAATTCTGTCTAATGTCTCTTTCTGTTAATTATTTCATCTGTGCCAACTTCTTCTGTTATTATCGAATATCCGGATCTTTCTTGTATAACCCACATTTTTGATTCGGTATTTTCTCCTGTTGTTCCTGCACTAGTTGTTTCTTCCGGATTAGAAAAGAAAGTTTGAAATGTGCAAACATTTTCAGATGTTACGAAGGAATTTACAAGAGACTTTTCCCTTTTATATATTTCCCATTCCATTCTTGATATATCAATGTAAGGCTTCTTTGCAGCGAAATCCAGATGTTTCCATTTTCTCCCCAATATCTCTGCCACTTGTGTGTTTCGCCTTACTCCGGATGCTCTAAGTTTTGGAAGCTCGGAGACGTAATAATGAAGGTAAGGGGACATCGGCCTCTTGGGATGGCTCGTTTCTTCTCTATTTGCATCCTGGCATACGAGCAAGTTCCAGATTCGTTGTCTTTACTTATTGACACCATTGTTGCTTTTTAATTTTTACCGGAATTTTTGTTATTGTTAACAGAGGAATCTCTAACAATTACGTAAATGTTGTTACGTTTTAACTAAAATATGTCATCATTTTTGATTAATTGCGTGACGTTAATTCAGAAAAGTATTTTAATTAATAATTCTGTCATCTTGACGCGCTGAATCAATTATTAAATGGCCGATTTTCCTCACTCTACGACGAGCTCCTGCCACTTTTCTCTGACGCTATGTCCATAATATTTTTTTTACTTTCCCGGCTGTTATACATAACAGAAGGAAAGTATGGCAATCGGTCAAAAAATGACCTCCCAAGGACTCAGAATTTTGAAACAGAAAGAAATGAAAAAAATATTAAAAAATGTTTGAATTATTTTTATTAAACTATTACATTTACTGGTTGCAAAAAAATTAAGACGTAATTAATTAATTTCAAGAAATGGGACGTTTTTGCTCCAATCTAACTTATTCCTGGCAACAGTAAAACACAATCCAGGAATCGCGCCCTCTCGTGGGACGATGATAATTAATTTTAAAGTTTTTATAACGATAATTTTAAAAGCGAATCGATATTTTTAAATGTTAAAAAATTTAATATTTAATCCTACTAACATTTTTTTAAAAAAAGCATATTTATCATTTATCACTTAATACTTTTGGCGACGTTCCACTTACGTCATCGGTTACGTTTAATAATACAGTAGAGCAGGGGTGGCCAAAACGTGGCGCATTAGACGATTACAAGTGGCGCTTCAGTTAGATCTGAGCAAAATTGCCAGATTTGGCTTTTTTGCAATTAAAAATATTATATAGAAAAATAAATTTTTTACAGTCTGTCTTGGCGAGTTCATTTGTTGCACAATTCGTTACAGTCTATTTTGAAGATAAAATGAGTGTTCTCCACATAGTAAATTACAATGTATGCATGTATTGTGAGTCTTGCGATCTTTATTTCCGATCAGTTTACAGGCGTGTAAATGGTTGAAAACATTTATTGTGATTAAAGTTATTCCAAGCTCATCTCGTTCTCGGTACCAATAATTGTGGTGCGTAGTAATCTTCACCAAACAAGACTCTGGCAGCTATAGCACCATCACCAAGCAATCACCCTCTCGTACAGTAGATCATTGCTGACTATTGTAAATTGGTGCTTCAATAAACTGTCAGCAGTTGAATTAATTAATTTATTAATTAATTCAAATGCGTGATTAAGTTATTCCCTTTTCTCCCCTAAGCGAAGCAGATTTATTCTTATCTCTATTTATCAACCCCTAACATTGAACGTAAGACTGTATAAAGTGTCCGATTTATATGGCGCATCTGAACTCGTCTGTCAGAAAATTGGCGCATTGTATGCAAAAGGTTGGCCACCCCTGA